ACCCCCTGACAGCTCCCGGTGAGCTGAGTTCCTGCCCAGTTTTAGTGCTGATGAAAGTAGTCCGGCAAGTTGGCTAGGGTCACGAAAATAAAGTGTTTTTCTACTCAAAACAATATGTGTTCATTTTTGTGTACATTTGCATCACAAAACCGCTGTCCACGAAAAAGACAGACCTCATAATCGCTTGGCGCTATTTTCTCTGTGTTCGTATTATTGCACGCTGCCGCCATCTGACAGGCGCGCATGGATCCAACACTTTTTTCAATTGTTTGGCAGTGTTTACGCACTCAGACCGATGACTGTCGCGATGCAAGAGAGCTAACGTGAGAACCCGAGCGATAAGTATATAAGCTTGTCTAAGCTATATAAGAATCTATATAAAAAAATTGAGTGGACTTGTGATGATCCAGGCTGTAGCAACAAAACTCTGTCTGAATCTCCGCACACATTTCACCATTTTCCTGTCACGGACATTGCGCTTAGGCAACTTTGGCTTCTTGCCATAGGCTTCAATGTGGAAACGAAACTGCGGAAGATAACAAAGCTTTGTGTGTGCAGTGCGCAATTCAGCGACAATTACGGCCAGGACAGAGGAAGAAATCTGTTTTGAAGAGCACTGCTGTACCTGCACTTCAGGTAAGAACAAAAAGGTGTCGCTATATATCAAGAATCAGCTAGTAATGCTGTGTACAACAAATCACTCAATGTCATATTATCAGTGAAGCTTCTACAAAACGTAACATTATATGTAGACTGTTATTATTATTGTCAACAACTACGTGGACGTGTGGATGATTCCATGTTTCTATTAGTAGTCCATGCTTCCAGTCACAGTATTGGCTCTATGTTAGCTGTATGCTACTTTCTAAATGACAGGGGTCTAACTCCATCTAATAAATTTCGGCATCAGTATATTCGGGTTCATAAAGATATCCCCTTGGCTCTGACCTGAAGGCAATGTCTTCATCGTAGGTTTTCTAGTCAGACGTGTTGTCGTTAACTTTCTGAGCAGTAAACACAGTGAAACAGGCATGGCTGTCAGATGGCGGCAGCGCGCAGTAATACAGAATGGAGAGAAAACGTGCCAAGCGATTATGAGGTCTGACTTTTTCATGGTTTTGTGATGAAAATGTATCACTCTTTTGAACAAATATTGTTTTGAGAAGAAAAACGCTTTATTTTCGTGACCCCAGCCAACTTGCTGGACTAATTTTGTCAGCACCATAACCGGGCAGGAACTCAGCTCACAGAACGTTGTCAGGGGTAAGTCAGTGTTGATGCGTAGGGTTTTAATGGGGCTTGGGAGAGATCGCTAAATTACGCAAACATGCATGAACAACATCTAAAACCTCTTCACACATTTTTTTTATGAGGGAACAACATTGTATTATGGTAGAAAGCTGAAAATATAATAATTTTGCATAATACCCCCTTTAAATAGCAGTTTTCCATATCCATTTTCAAATCTGTCTCTTTTGTGACTCCAACCTTATATCCAGAAACAGCAGTGTATGACCCATTATGTTTTGATTTTGGTATTTATTACGTTACAACTAACATCCCCCAGCTGTCTCGTGACATGAAAACAAGAATATGGGAACATTCACAACAGTCCTTGATACTTTACTGCCTACAATTTAAGTAGTCTTTTCAATCATTCAACGTTCTGACAGCACAATGAAACAAGAATAAAACTCCCTGAATTGCTTTTGTGTCATCCACTCTTTGTAATGAAAGATACAGCACCATCCATCTAAGGCTACAGAGTGAAAAGTGGCAGGAAGCCATAATAATTCCCATCCACCTCAATAATGGAGAACTTTACTGTGCCAAACTTCAGAAACACTTTCAAGTTCACCCTGCCATTCACAGCAGTATCGTAGAGAGGGCCACGCTGAACGATTAAGAGCCGAGTGGAATCATAATACAGGTGACAGGGGATGAGTCTCATGGGCCCCAGTAAAAAGGACCTGCACTTAAGTATAAGAGCAGTGAATCGCTACCTTCAAACCTACATTTTATATACCTATAGTTTGACATATTACTAAGGTAAATATAGACAATAAGTGATAATACTGAAACTAATTTATGCCACTGACTTGAGCAGAACAACAGCAAATTAAAACCACAAAAACTATTCAAAATGTACAATATTATAAAAAAAAAAATTTAAGTAAAAAAGAGCAATAAATAAACAGCAGAATGTTTAGTAGTCTGCGTCTGTAATGAGTCGTAGAAGTTATAAATTCAACCTTTTAGAGCTTAAATCTTTTAATATCCAAACAAATTCTCAGTTGTGCAAAGACAATGTACACAAGATAAATATTGACTGCCAAAAATATTGTTCCAGCTTTCATATATTGAACGATAAGTCGATATAGTAATTATGTGAGGCCTATATACGTATATCTAACAAATTATAGTCGTGTTTGTTTTTCCAACATCTTCTTGCATATTGATGTTTGGAAACTACATAAGCAACCTGTAGTGATGGGTGGATCTATACAAAATATTGATCTATTCAAACTGACTGAGGTATCAAAAAGTATTGATTCTCATGCAAAAATAGCGCTACTTTTGGTTCATCAATACATTTTCTGAAAAACATTGTTCTGAGTTTGTATACGCAATTGGTTCAAGTTGCGGTCGAGTAATGAAAAGGATACATGCCAAAGTAAAGAATCTTTATAGTAGAGGAATTTCAGTGCATTTTAATACAAAACTCATGCCAGTATCAATATAAATATCACTTGCCACAGTTTTCTTGTTAATAGAACAAAACAAAAATCATTGGTTTTGCCCATCAGTAGCTGAGCACATTCAGACTAATGCTTTCACAAAGTATGCAAAGGGCTGCTTATGTTATTAGGTTCTTTTTTCAGACCAAGAGTTTATTTTCATACCTGACAGTTTCGAATACTCACTAGTGCTCTTCCTCAGAGTGGTCACTTGATGTTGCTGTGATGTGCCCTGTCAGCTGATTTATACAGGTTTTGGCGCTGTCTTCCTACTGGTGGAGACAGGACGACAGCGCCATCTGCAGTCCCACTTCCTCAGGACAGTATCCCAGGTGTGTGAGAGTAAAAAAGCCCCCTCGTCCCGGTTTATAGTCCCATGGGCATGTTTTCGTATTTCGACTGCCTCTTTAATCCAGCGACAGTGTTTGTTTTCGTCTGTCCCAATGATGTTTGCTCCGTCCCAGTCCATATTGTGGTTCTCTCTTTTACAGTGGTCAGAGAGGGACGATTTGAGTTGTTCCTGTTCTGCTTTGTGTTTTGTTGCTCGTTTGCACTCCTTCACTGTTTCCTTCTCGCATTCTGTCCTGTTTTCCTTTTTTCGTGTACTTGAACGCCCTCCATGTTTCCCCGATGTTTGTTTTATTGCAGGTTATTTCTTATATGACATTACATTTATCCTCCGGTTCTATTTTGTCTTTTGGGTGAACGAGTAGATGCAGGTGGCGCTGTCATCTTGCCTCCAACGATAGGAAGACAGCGCCAAAACTTGTATAAATCAGCTGACCGGATACATCACAACAACATCACGTGACCGATCTGAGGAAGACCGCTAGTGAGCAATCGAAACTGTCAGGTATGAAAACAAACTCTTGGTCTGAGAAAAAGAACCTAATAACATAAATAATTGCAAGACCAAATGAACCTCACTGGACTATTTAAAGGGCTCTTTCAAGGCACATTCACTTATTCTCTTACTTACCACTGCCATGAGATTAGACGGATGGAAAACGGTCAGTCTCTACCACCTTCTTCAACCACCATCATTCACGTACTGACCACATTCATACAAAGACAAGGTGGTAAAGTGTCTTGCCCAAGGACACAACAACAGTAGTGGTCTAAGCAGGATCCAGATTGGTGAATAATGCATGTAGCAGCAACTAATTATTATTCTGAAAAATCAGTTTTGTTTTTTGACTGAGTATGTCTTAATTACGTTGAAGTGATTATGTTACAGTTGTTCTATCCCAACAGATACTATTTATGTGTATGAAATTCAGATAATTAAGTATGTTAATTTAGAAAGGAAAAAGAAAATCAGATTGAATCTCTTGTTAAAATGAGAGTAGTAAAAGAGAGCCTCAAGTACATCCAGTCATATATCCCACAAGTTGTTTTCGTAGATGCTCTGAGCCAGTCGTCAAGCCATCACAATTCAAACCATGTTAAACACAAATTGTTACTTGCAAACATTTCCTCCTTCTAACAAAACAACTGAGAGAAATAAATCTTCTGTTGGCTTCTGTTATTTACGCTCCCAGAAACAGGGTCCCACAGTGAAGAGATAATCTGCGTTAGTCACTTTGCCTCAGTCTGTGGTACTAATGTAATAACTGTACATCATAAACAAACCAAAGAGAAGCTGGTAATTTGCAGTTAACCAGAAATAATGCTTGGATTGAGGCTTAACTTCCAAATAATAATATTTAGGGGCTCAGTATTAGTGGCTGTAATTTATGCTTTTGGCATTATTCAATTAGGCTATGAATCTTATGTTAAACTGTCTAGAACAAAACTATTCATATTAGCGAAGAAAGTCATTGAAGGCAGCAAAAAATGAATTTAAAAACATATTAAAACATCTTAAAGGTGCAGTATCCGAGTTTTACTTTCTTAAAAACTTGTAAAACATAATCATCCCAATTGACCACAATGAGTTCTGAAGTGCCTTTCACAACTTTCAGACGCCACAGTGGGACTTTGCTGTCATAGTAAAGCTAACAAACATTAGCATGCTAATAGCGCACTCCCTAATTATCGAAAACACTTTATAATATAGATGCAGAAAGCTTGCAGTGGCTTTTTAGGTACAACTGCTAATACACATTTTAGAGTAAAAGATAATGAGCGCTTTTCTTTTCTTTCTTCTTTTTTTTTTTTTTTTTCAGAACAGTCAATTCTAAATCTTAATTGCTTTTTCACCGCCAGTAAAGTAAGTAACTAAGACGATCACACACATAATGTTGACACTTTTGTACTCACCCCAGTGTTGTCATCGTAACAATGGTGTACCAGAAGGACGCAGGGATGCTGGTGAACTTGCTCGAGCTGGATCCTTTCTCCGCGTAGAACATCACGGTGGCGAAGATGATGATGGCCATAGTCAGCGAAAAGAGGAGGAAACCTAACTCGGACGCACAGCTTTTCAGCGTGTATCCCAAGATCCTCAGACCTTGGGAGTGGCGCGAAAACTTGAAGATTCTGAAAACGCGAAACACCCTTAACGTCACGAATGCGCCACTCACGTCTTCGTTGTTGGTCATCACTAAACCGATGTAGTACGGCAAGATGGCCACCACGTCGATGATACTCATGACGGAGCGCATGAATCGGTATCTGCTCGGTGCCGCAAACAAACGCAACAGGTATTCAACGGTGAAAATCATAACGCAAGCCGTGTCCATGCAAAAGAACGCTACGGTGTACCTCTCGCCGCAAGGCATGTCTTTCTGATGGGGAGTGGAACCACATGGGACAGTCTCGACGACATTGGTGATGACTGACACAGCGATGAAGAAACCGGTGACATAGTAAAAGACAAGAGCCATGGTGGAGGTATGGGGGTTTTCGAAGGCCCGCCACATGGTCTGACGGATGTTCATTTTTGGGAGCTTTGCATCTTTGTTCTCCTCTTGGTCGTCCTGAAGCCTTTCCAAGTTCTCGCGTTTCCGGTCCTTGTACTCTTCGTAGCAACAGTCGCCGATTATTTCTGGAATGATCCCGAAGAAGGTGAGCTCTTCATCGTAGGAGGAGATGCATTCGTGGCGTGGGTAATGGAGTTTGCCGGTCCGGTAGAAGTTCAGAATGCTTCGAAAGACATCAGGGTCACGGTCAAAGAAGTACTCCTTGGTTTCCTCGTTGTAAAAAAAGTCCTTTTCAGAGCTGCCCAATAACGTGTCAGGGTATCGGTCCAGAGTGGTTCTCCAGGTCTGGAATCTGCGTCCACTAACGTTTAGCATGATTAGCTCATCCTGTTTCTTGCTGTTGTCTCTTGGGGCCAGAGGCATGGGGCAACTGGCCACAGGCATCCAGCCTATAGCAGCCGCTCGGGCAAAAGGGAGCCACGCCGCTGCTCCCGTCGCCATGGTGAACCAGTCCTCTTCACCTCAAAGATGGAACAGCTCAAGGCAATGTGACATCTGGAAGAAAATATATGTTAACTATGTTGTAAATTAGTAATAGTGGCTAATAAAGAGGATCATAATTTGGTTCATTGTCATTTACAGTAGCATATAAAATCTGGCTTGATTAGAAGTGCAATTAAACTATTCTCAATGCAAGCTGGCATCAGTAATATGCCTTACTAAAATGTTTATAATAAGACTAACACAGCCACTAACTAGACTTATTGTATGGAACTTTTTTCATTTGTTTATTTTATCTCAACTAAATGTAAAATAAAAATGCTAAATCTAAACCACCTGTTGGTCATTTACATTTTCACGTTGCCGAATATGTGTCATTCGAACTAAATCCCACAACACCATGAACATAACTTACCCATAAACACCACTGGGAAAAAGAAGTTGCACCGCTGTGTCCTAAAGTGTGTAGAATCTGTGAGTTGAGGAGAGCGCAGAAAACCAAAGCCCCATCCAGAAGGAAGAAGAGACCGCTTTTCCCTCACGTCGATCAAACACGGAGCAGAGAAGGCGCCAAAAAGGCAGGCTGAACGCGCGTAATTGTTTCCCGCTGATACGTGAAGAAAAGACGGGAGAGCGTAAAAAGCGTCCGTGCCTCGTGCTGCTGGATCCTACATCTTGTCCTCTCTGTGCATCGGAGCCACCGCGTGCTTGAAAGTGAGATGCAGCGGAGAGGAGGCACGCCAGTCCAATGTGCGCTTTCTCTCTCTCTCTTTCTCTCTCTCCACTCTGGCACGCGCCCTCCCCATGCGTAACGCGTCCTCCCCAGCAAACACTCACTACATTAGTCTTTTCACATGGTTCGCTCCTGTTGATTCATTCAGTCTAATCTACATTTCCAGTTTGAGAATTACTCATTTATTTCCATGTTCTTGGAATTTAGACATCAAATATAAAACCTGTAAAGTAATAACCTGAATATAAAGTAAATTTACCCAATTTTTCCACAAACCTGGACACTTAGGGAAAGGCAAATTTATTTGTATAGCACAGTTCGTACACAAAGTAATTCAAAGTGCTTTACAGAATAAGAAACCCATTAAAATCACAATACAAACAAACCAAATCATAAATAATCAACAACCAATCAGTAAAATCAATTAAAATCAGCTAACACCATGTCATTATTTAAATGTAGGATATTTATATTGTATCGTCTAATGTTGTTTTAATCTGGCCAGCAAGATGATTTCTCCCAGTGTTTGTGTTTGAGTTCACAAAGTCATGAGAATCCATCTGGACTGCTCCCTCTGTTGTGATTGCCCACTTAACCAGTAGTTCAGTCCGGACCAATCACAGGGCAGCATTGTGGTTTGGGTTGAAGCCAAAAGTGAAGTGCCCAAACAAACCAAAAAAAAAAACAAAAACATGGCGACGGAGATGGATGTACCCTTATTTTAGCCTATTTTAACTTGCCTGGCAAATTCAGAATGATATCTCAGATTTTTTTTTATAGATTGATATCAGTCTGGTCCCCACACCCTGTCGTGCAATCAGTTTTGTCTTTTTTCTGTGAAACATGTGAAATAAATGAGGTTATTGGTCACAGATCATTTACAAATAAAATCACATTTATTTCACCTCAGATTAACAGTTTAGTCCTTCGCTCATTGATTCTGCAGAATACGGCAATGTTTTTCAGCACCTTGTAATATTTGTTTTTTCTTTATTTTTTCCACTATGGACAGAAAATGTATGACCCTGATTGGCTAATCCATCTGTCAATCATGCCCACCTGAAAACAGGGAGATTCACTAATGACCAGACTCACATCTTCATAAAGTATTAAAGAATTGTGCATTCTGGATCCCAGGCAATATTTTACCTATTTTGTTTTTGAAGAACACGTAGAGGGAAGTGCCTTGTGCATTCGTGATTGATTTTCTGTCAAATGGATGTAACAAATGTTTGATTTCTCAGCTCCGGGGTGAGCCAGGTTAGTATTATTTTGAAGTGTAACAAAACTCTTAGAATATTATAACACAGTACAATCCTACAATATTTGAATCCTCTACCCACATTTTCTTCACAGTATATATCCACTGTATACATGCACGGAGATGTTATTGCTTTGCGGGAATGTTTCATGATACGGCATTAAACAAATTCATCTAGTATTTATTCATTACAGGTGTTTCTATTGCTCAAAAATACAATAATTCCTTCTGTGAATAGGGGCGACTCTCCTCAGATCTGAACAGTGAGAAATACAGGACTATTCATACCATACTCCATACAACTGTACAACAACTCACTTATGTAACAGTTAATACTCCCTACAACTGTACAACAACTCACCCTTATGTAACAGTTAATACTCCCTACAACTGTACAACAACTCACTCTTATGTAACAGTTAATACTCCCTACAACTGTACAACAACTCACCTTTATGTAACAGATAAACCAATGTCCTGTCAATCATAATATTATTGTTGCACTGTATTCCTATGTCCTCTTGTATAAAGCTGTGATTTTATATTTTATTACTTATCTTTCTATTTTATTTTGACTTGTACATTTACATTTATATTATTATCCCCAATCTGACACCTGTCTCTTGCTATCTTTTTTGCTACTTATTTAGAATTTATTATCACCATTTATATTTTCGCTCTTTGTTATTATATGTGTCCAAATTATGTCCCTTGTGAATCAATAAAGTGTGTCTAAAATCTAAGCATAGTGCTGTAACCTGCTTGTCTCCCCCGTAATAGAGGTTTAATCTTTACTGTGGAACATTCAGGACAAAGCAATAACATTTCCATGAAAGTAGCGGACCCTCCACCAGAAAAGTTGCATAATCCACCTTTAAATATTAAGTTTTACACTAAACCATATCCATAACACATACTTTCTTGTGTCTCCTTTAGCATTTGGCTGAAAGTGTGAATGCTCATTATCAAAAAGAGTTCAGGACTGGAGCACCCCTGGTTTTCCTTAGCCCTTCTACCCTCACACACACAATCCTATGGGGACCACTGAACCAGCAGTGAGGGCTTTCAAAGAGCAGCCTTGTGTGTGGAGACAGGCTCCCTATTGACGAACCACAGTTCAATCAGATGTGCACGTCAACTTTTTGGCACATCATGTAAAATATTCATGAATGAAGGCCGGGCGTTTTGAAGTTTGCAGTTTTCTTAACAGGGCAGCGCTTTTTGGTTAAATCAGTGCAGTCCCGCAGGGCAGTGGAATGAAAAATATTTGAAGTATAGTATGCCTGGAAAGAACAGGAGATAATAATACTGTATATTAGGTTATTCATAAATTGTAGCTCCAACATAACAGCAGATAATCTTGTGCGCCAGTTTAAAAAAGGATTTAAAGACAAAGACATTTTTTTTCTTGACTGACACCTTGTGACTTAAAGATCCTATGTTACGAAAAATTGGTTTGACTTGTGAGCTATAAGCCATGTGAGAATGTTGTTATCTCCTCAAAAACATATCTGGAGCTCTGTTTTTTTTTTTTTTTTTTGTTTTTTTATTCACGTTTTTGTAACTCTTTATTATTAGTCTGTCTATATCTCCAAAGCTCAAAATGCTCTGTTTCAACTTGTGACGTCATGAAGTGGTTGTGTTCAAATTAACAGCTCCCTTGTACCTTTTGTTTAGGAGAGATTGAGAAATGATCCAAATTATTCTAAATATATGGAGTTTAAAAACACTGTAGAGCACTGACATCACAAGTTGGAGTATTCTGTTTAGAGAAGAAAAAATAAATAACATGTTGACATCAATGATTCAGATGATAGACACACTATAATTTCAAAGAAATGAAAAAAAAAAAAAAAAAAAAAGGACATGAAACAAAGACAGTTCTTATAGATTTGATTTGACCTTCATTATATTTTAGTTGGTTCTCACACTTGTTAATGGGATCCTGTCAGTTGGATGGATCACTTGCTCTGGTCTGAAGGCCTCTCTCTGAAGGCTCTGACCGGAGCTTCAACCTTGGAGAAGAGTAATGTTACTTGAGAGAATTTCCCCACTTTTCTTTGTACTCTTCGTACTAAAATGAAAGTTTAAAAAAAAGATATTTCTTATTTAAAATTGACAAGTCTAGCTTTCGTGAACCTTCTATGGATATGTCATTTCTCTGCCTGGAATGTTCCACAGTATTACAGTAACATTAAACAGCTCTGCCTTACATTTATTAAATTACTGGTGGTTTTATAGCTCAAAAAACACCTAGAAAAACAGCCATTCTGACAGTAAGCGGGGTTGCCTCTCCAGAGAAAAGTTACACACTGCACCGTTCTGGCTGCATTTAAAGCTACACAATGTCTGAAATATATTTACGGGGTCAATTGGAATGCAAAGAAAGGAGATGTATTGTGCAAATATTTTCAGAGCTTTTAACCAGGTTGCAATGGTTTTCCCTTCTCATATACACACTTGAAGTTGTATTCAGAGTGATTCATGCATAATTCATAAGCTCAATCATCTCTATTCTCCAGCATTCAAGACATCACCCCGATCTACCCCAGTTACTGGAATACACCCACTTCTCTTTACTTCTTTTTTTTTTTTTTTTTTTCTTTATTGGACAGTTAGGATTCATCATGCAGCTATGGGCAGACAACATTCAGCACTTTGTTGTGATATTTACACCAATGTACTGTAAAGGAGCAGGTGGGAATCAGCTCCTAATAGGCGAGTTTCAGCTGACGTCATTGTTATTAAAAGCCTGGAAATATTTTGGTCGGAGGCAAGAAACACGATAGCGGTCAAACACAGTGCGTAACCTCACGTATTTATCCTCGATAATTGTAAAATTAGCAGCTGTGGTTGGATCATCGAAAATTTACATTCTGTTTGTATCCAGAAGGGGCTGAAATTGGACAATAGAGGGTGAAAATCCTTGAGATCCCATCACAGCTGCTAATTTGTAGCACATGTCTCTCAAATTTGGAAGACATCTCTCCAAAATTCTCATAACAT